ATTACAGGCTGAGCCACCGAGCTTGGGTTTTTTTTTTTTAACGCAGTTTGGAGCTCTCTCCCCGTCTTCCCAAAAACTGCAGAGATGGATGTGCCCGCAGAGCCGGGCCAGGGGCAGTGGGTGGTCCTGGGCTCTGGAGAAGCCCTCAGGACACACATTCACACTCACACACACTCTTACCCACCCCTACATACACACACTCGGACACACACATGCACTCACCCTCACATAAACACAGACACACTTGGATGTGCACACACACACATTCACACACTTGCACTCACACTCAGCACGCTCACAGCAATCGCACCTACCCCACACACTCAGGTACATACACCCACACCCCCTCACACTCAGGCACACACTTGCACCCCCCACATACACACACACTCACACACACTCAGGCACACACACATTCACACACTTGCACTCACACTCAACACACTCACAGCATTCACAAGCACCCCCACCCACACACTCACACCCATCCCCACACACCTTCAGGCACATGCACTCACACCTACCCCCACACTCAGTTCCACACTTGCACGCACGCCCACATACACACCCCCTCACATTCACACACTAGCACTCATGCACACTCACACGCATTCATATACTCGCCCACCCCACATTCACACACTTACACTCACCCCCACATACACATTTAAACTCACACACACACTCACATTCATACACACACTTACATCCTCCCACACGTTCACACACACACTCATACCCAGCCCACATACACATTCACACACACCGAGACAGATGCACTCACTGGCACCTGTTCTTAACTTACACCCCCACACACATTCAGAAAACACACAGGCACACACATTGGTGCGCAGTTTACACACATCCACACAGCTCACACATTGGCGCGCACTCACACTGCTTCATGACACACATTTGCACACACAGTCATACACATATAATCACATCCACATTCACACATACACCTATGGACACACCACATGCTTTCTCACACACAGACGCGCCTAGGGACACGTACCACACACTCATGTACGGACACATCACACACACTGTCACATACACAGTCACACACACAGCTGGTGTTTAAGTGATTGCACAGAGAAAGAGACAGGAAAACCCCAGCCAAGCCCACTTCTGGGCCAGCAGCTGAAATGCAGAGAATCTGGTACATAATTTCATTCTGCTTTTAATTTGCTGCAGAGGAGCACAGGGCCCCGAGCCACACATGAACTTGGATTAGACACTCACCCTTCCACCCGCCAGCCCTGTGGCCGGGCCGTTTACAAAGGGGCGCCCTGTCATCGTCTGCGGTTCCTCCCGGGGGCCGTGTCGGGGCTGCTGCTGTCGCTGGCTTCTGGTCTACCCCTGCGTCGCTGTGACGGTCGGTGGTGGTGTGTGGCCTCTGCCCGTGGGAAGCCGGGAGTCGATGGTGGGTTTGGACCAGGAGTCATGGCGTGGGGTGCCGGGCCCAGGCTGCCAGGCAAAGCCCTGCTCCCACCCCCATGATGCTTGCTGCTCAGGGGCTGACTCGCGCGAGGCGCCTGCTGGACAGGCGCGTTTTGGTCCTGCCCCCGCCATGGACAGGGAAGGGACTTGCGGGGCTGTTGGGGCCTGGCCTCCTGGTCCTCCAGCTGCTGGGAGCAGGCCTGGAGAGGCGGGGCTGTGGGGTCAGGCCCCCTACCAGGCACTGAGCCAGGGTGTGGTGCCTCGTTCCCTCTGGCCACATCCGTGGGTCCGTCCTTCCGTTTATTTGTTCCTCCATTTATGTCTTCCCTCGTTCACCCGTTCTTCTACTTGCTTATCCATTCAGCTACTCATTTATTCTGTCATTCACCCATCCATCCGTCCGTCCGTCCGTCCCTCCATCCATCCATCCCTCCATCCGTCCGTCCATCTGTCCCTCCATCCATCCGTCCCTCCGTCTGTCCGTCCCTCCATCCGTCCATCTGTCCCTCCATCCGTCCGTCCGTCCGTCCATCCCCCCGTCCTTCCATACCCCCGTCCGTCCGTCCGTCCCTCCCTCCCTCCGTCCGTCCATCCACCCGTCCATCCATCCGTCCCCCCGTCCGTCCATCCGTCCATCCATCTGTCCTTTTATTTATTCATCCATCCATTTATTCATTCATTCATCTGTTCATTCATTCATTCACCCATTTGTCCGTCTGTCCGTCAGTCCATCCCTCCCTTCCTCCATTCAGAAGAGCTGGTGGCCCCCCCATCTCTTCGAGGACACAAACCAAGTGTCTTTGTCTTGTCCAGGCTCGTCTTGTGTGGTTTGGGATCTCAACCCAGCAGGGACACCACGGCCGTTCCAGACGAGCCCAGTGGCCTTTAGAAATGCCAGACCACCGAGGTGTGACTCAGGCCGGTGTCCCCCGGCAACGTCCTCACGGCCTGGCTTGAAACAGTGCCCTGCCGGCTCCCTCGGCAGCCCTCGTCCAGGCAGGCTGACCGAGCGTGCGCTCTCACGGCTGCGCAGTCTCAGGCTGGTCGGGGACGTGTGCGTCTTCCCTGTGGCTTAGGAAGGGGTGTGGCGCCTCAGGTCTGGCCGGCTCCGGCTTTTGTTGTTGTTCCTGCTCTAGGCAGCTGCCTCCCAGCTCCCCACACCTCTCGTGCCGCTGGAGTCATTCCTTAGGAAGACAGCGGCATTCATTCATTCCTCCGTTCACTCATTCATTCATCCCTTCTTTTTTTTTTTTTTTTTTTTG